GATCGCATTACTCAGTCAGGGGGACAAGTAAATGTGGACAACATTGGACGACACATGGTAAATGAGACTCTCAGTATGTCTCGCAGCATTGGTGATATCCATCTCAAGCCATATGGAGTAATTGCTCTGCCTGATACCAGAACTCTACGGGTAAGGGGGATTTGGTTTAAAATTTCTTTGATTGTTAATTACAACAAAATCCATTGAAGTGATGCTCCTGACTGTAGTAAATTCTCACTTAATTTCACTTTTGTCATTATGAGGAAAAGGTGTGGCCAGTAAGCTGTGGGACTTTATTGCAAACGAAGTATGGAGACCTTAAGTACCTTTATAAAGGTTACTATTACTAATGCTTGAGGTCAAGGAACCCCTCCTGCACCCTGTTTTAGTCGTAATTACACTTAAGGAGTAGGGAGGGGGGAGTCTAGTCTTTGAATGATGCAACATGTGAGATGAAAGTTGGGATGAGTAACTATGATAAAACTGAGACATAATGACACTAAATAATATAATTTACCACATCCTGACGGAGACACGATGATCCTCCCCATACTGGTCAGATATTATGCGTTAAAGGAATACCATGCTTCCTTACTTAGGCTTTTTTTTAAGCATTTGCCTACAGGTGAAATGTTAACCTACATCTATTGAGGATAAAATCTTTCACCTACAAATTGACAATAACACATTTGCTGTAATCAGACATATCTAGTTGCCTCAACAATTGCAACCCCAGTTGCAATTGGGGTTGCAATTTCAAATTCTGTGGCATTACTAAAAATAGTAAAGTTTCTGGTGCACTCTACGATTAAGAGAGAAAACGGAGGACTCGGGCGTCCTGATGTGAGAGAAAACGGACTCGTATCACAGGGGACCAAATAAAAAAAGCATAGCTACATGTTTTGTGGACTACAGTATTAAGCGTACCCTTTTCATCACTTTGTAATAAACCTAGCCATGCCTATGTGTGTTTATGATATTTACCATAACATTATATATATATTTAGTGGGTCTAAATGGTCGTAAAATAGGAAACTTGGGGTTGGGTCTTGGGTGCCTCAACCAATTAGAATAAATCCCATAGGTTCTGTACTTTCGTTATCGGCGGGGTCCCAATTAGGCGCGATAACCAAGGGATGACTGAACTGTACTTCATATACTTGTGACACTGGCCAGTTGCTTCTGGTGTTATGGTACAGGGGTACCAAGTGACAGCACTAGGATCCCGCTTCCTCTATCAAGGAATAAACAATTAAAATTTAAATTGAAAAAAAAAACATTCAAATAATGAGAACTAGCGAACCGAAATGGACCTAGAGCAGGCACAGTCACGTATGCATCGCGTATTCTTATAGATTGTGCGGCCAGGCGTACGTTATCTAGTGAATTTAGTCAATATTGTACAGTAACAATGGACCTAAGTGCAAACCTGTATTGTACATGTACTAAATGATTATGGTACTAAAATTGTTATGTCTATTGCAAATACTGTATAGCTTGTTTATACAGGTATTCAATTAAATTACTATCTTACAAGAATCCCTCCGATGTAAGTTATATTCACCCAGGTCGTTTGGGTGGCAAATTATGAGAAGAGCTTAGTCACTCTTAAGTAATGATAAATAAACACGCAGGCAGGCCTTCAGCGCCAACTGTCAAATCTTGATCTCAAATAAATAAACAAACAAACGCCAGACATTCTGTCACCTCACCTCCCGCCCTCTTCCCACCACCCTCGTGTTCAAGATAAAAGATTGGTGATTTCTTTATGTTTATTTTATATAATATCTCAGACTAAAGTTAGGATAATATAATTTGCATTGCTGAAATCCTTGCAAGACAGAGATTAATTTAAATATAAGCATCATATATTTTGCTCAAGATATAAAAAATGTAGTACATTAGTGTACAATACTGTAGTACATTTTATAAAAAGTTTTTCAACTGTATTTTTGGGTAGATTTACATAAATTTCTTCATTTATTTTCATCCATTTACATGCACACACCATACTAAAAGAAACGTAAAAGAAATAAATGACCTTAGTGCAAAGCTGGAGTGCATATGTACTAATTTGATTACGGTACTAAAATTTTTATGTTTATACAGTACTCCCTCTTTATCGACGGGGGTTACGTTCTGTAGACGGCCGTCGATAAAGAAACCGTCGATACCGTGATGGTTACGTAATTTTTCTAACTATTATTAGCATATGTTGAATAAATGTACCTTTAAGCATTAATGCGTTTCCTTTACACATAACCTTAAATAATAGTGTATAAATAATAATATAATAAGTGGACAAAAATACTAGCAAACTTACGATTTCATTTATTGAAGTGAACATCGGTCCTTACAGTAAACAATCCTTTGCACGTCGTTTAATTCCACGCACACTGGATTCGTTGAGCCCAAAGTGGCGGCCAACAGCTGCGTAGCTCATACCGCTGTCGAGTTGTTTCAGCACTTCATTCTTCTCATTCAGCGTCAGCACTCGTCTTGCCCTCTTAGGTGTAGATCCAGAGGGAGCAGCAGGTCGTTTGGGAGGCATGGTGATATAAGTTGATGTGATGAACCACCAGCAAAAGTTGAAAATCAAAGACTGTTGCCCACGCGGCTTGGCTGATGTCTGTGTTCAGGGAAGGCTGGCCGCGGGTAGACGCTAGTCACGCCACTAGTGCCGCCTAGCGGCGAAAGTACAAACAAGGCCCGTAGAGTTCAAATAAAGCCAAAATAAAAATCCGTCTAAATAATACGTCGATAATCGAAACCGTCGATAAAAAATCCGTCGATAAAGAGGGAGTACTGTATTCAAATAAATCAGTATCTTACAAGAATCCCAGTTATGTTAATTATATTCTCCTAGGTCATATCACTGGCCTTTTAAAATGAGAGAAGCTTAGTAGGACTGTTCAATAAACACAAAGAGACCTTCAGCTCAAACTTATCACCTCAACCCCCCACCCCCCTAACCCCTCGCTGACTGGCTGGCTCCGTCAGTCCTTCCCTCCCTCCCCCCCAGCCTTTTAGGCTTAAAGTTTTTATCTTATATAATATCTCAGACTAAAATTAGGAGATTATAATTTGCATTGCTGGAATCCTTGCAAGACAGCCAATAATTTGAATATAAATGTCATATATTTTGCTCAAGAGATAAAAATTGTTGTACATTAGTGTACAGTACTGTAGTACATTTTATAAAAAAGTTTTTCAACTGTCTTTTTGGGTAGATTTACATAGATTTCTTCATTTATTTTCATCCATTTACATGCACACACCATACTAAAAGAAACGTAATAGAAATAAATGACGTTAGCGCAAAGCTGGAGTGCACATGTACTAATTTGATTACGGTCCTAAAATTGTTTTGTCAAGTGCAAATTATAGCATGTATATATTCAAATTAATTAGTATGTTACAAGAATCCCAGCTATGTTAATTATATTCACCCAGGTCATTTCACTGGCTTTTTATAAGAGAGAAGGTTAGTCACTTAAGAACTGAGCTTGCTAAACCCCTATGCTCCATCATCAATGCTTCTCTCAGTCAAGCCAGATGCCCAGCTGACTGGAAGACCTCGTATGTATCACCAGTGCCCAAGTCAACCAGCCCACACCTTAAATCAGCTACGACCTATTGCAATCACCCCAATACCCAGCCTAATCTGTGAAAGTTTTGTGTTCGACTGGGCTTATGCTGATATTGCAGGAGTCGTAGACCCTCAGCAATTTGGCAACATGAAAACTTCCTCCACCACTCACTGTCTTGTCAGCTTTCTCGATTACATATACCGCCATCTCGAGAAACGAAAAACGTCTGTAGCTGTCGCCTTCATTGATTTCACTAAAGCATTCGACCTAGTCGACCACAATATAATCATCAACAAAGCTATTGACCTCGGGCTTCGGAGAAGTCTTATACCATGGCTTACAGACTTCCTCAGTGACCGACGCCAAGCTGTACGCTTCCGAGGGGCTGTCTCCACCTTTCAGTCACTCGCCTGTGGCGTCCCCCAAGGCACCAAGATGGGACCACTCTGCTTCCTTATGCTCATCAATGATGCCCTAAGAGAAACCCCTGCTCGCTGGAAATATGTCGACGACTCCACCATTGGGATCAGCGTCAACAATTCTGCTCCCAACTATACCGCCCTTCAGGATTTATTGAAGTCTCCAAAACTGGGCCACCAACAACCATGTCACCATCAACCATACCAAGACCATGGTTATGCACATCAACCTCTCCTCCGACATTGTCCCACCTCCTTCCATTACTCTAGGTCCGAACACACTCCAGGTTGTAGATTCCACGAAGCTCCTCGGCGTCACCATAGACAACAAACTAAATTGGAAACCACACGTCAGTGAAGTTGTCAAATCCTCCAGTTTCCGTCTCCACCTCCTCCGCCGACTCAAGTCCCTCGGAGTTCCTGCACCGAGCTCCTCAGTGTTTACACAACATTCATACTTCCCAAGCTCACCTATGCCTCCCCCACCTGGTCTTCCTCCCTAAATGCCACACAACGTAAACACCTAGAAAAAGTGCAAAAGAGGGCATGCAAGATTATTCTCTCCCCTTCCTACTCTACATATCAAGAAGCGCTCAACACACTGACCCTTTCGACTTTCACTGACCATCACCACGACCTCATCTGCAAATTTGGTAAGAAGCTTCTACGCCATCCTCGACACCGGCTCCTACTACCACCTGAGATCCCTAGTCCGAGAATTGCTGTTCGACACCACAACCGCATCCAGCCCATACATGCACGAACTGATCACTATAAGAACAGCCCAGTCCCAACCATTGTAAAAATTATCAATAACTTGTAATAAACCAGTGTATTCACTCCCAGTAAACACTACTCCTTGCACTGTCACTATGTTGAAATGAACTGTAGTTTGAGCTTTTCCCCATCTAGTTATTATATGTCTTATTTGTGTCACTTATGTTACTTGTATATTATTTGTAATTCGAAACCCATTCCCCAAATATGTAACTGTATATTTTCAGCCTTCTGACTGCCAAGCTCTTTCAATAAACCGTTAATTATTATTATTATTATTATTATTATAAATATACACGCGTTAGACCTGGGCCTGTGCCAACTGTCAAACGTACTACCTCCCCTCCCCCCACGCCCCCTCGCA